ATGGGCCATAGTTCTGGATAGACCACTGGATACAACATTTATTTCATAATTAACAGAGTGGAAGACTTTATGCATTTGGATATCATAAACCATAAGAACTAACTTCCAAAAATAATTATGAAAATAATCAGGCCTAGCTCTCATAGGACTGTCGATTTTTCTTTTTTTCTCAAAAATATGCTAAAATACAAGAGTTTCCATATACCACCACCATCAGTTGTTAAATATCCACTCTGCAAAAAATAGACCAATCACAATCTCAGAATAAAAGACTGTCCTCTAAATGGAAAACATTTGGCTTCATGAAAAATTTAAGCATTGTTTTGTAAATCTTGCTTTTGTCCTTTTGTTGCTGACTGGTGAAAATGTTATCACAAAACATCAAGGCTCTCTTGGCTGGCATTTGGGAACCACTAGTAGAATTAAAACCCTCTGGGTTGAGGTTTCTTTGTGTCCTGTTGTCCAACTCTGACCCATCTGTCTCCCTTCTGCTCTCCACCTTCCTCTCCTGTGTTCTTTCCCAGGAAGGTGTCCTCCCCACACCTGTCATTCAGGCTCCCTTGCCGGTTACTGCTTGAGACATAGGCAAGAGAGCAGAGGGTGAGAGGGAGAAGGTCAGAATATTTATTCTACCGCTTGCACATGGGTGGCAGTGGCTGTTTTTCTTTCCTCAAACTCTCTTTTTAGATTATCCGTGATGTTCCCTTCCCCTTCTCCCTATCTGTTCAGGTCAAGGTAAGGTAAAGGCACCTGTACTTCTAGGTGGTACCTGTACCTCCTTTGTGAATGCCAATAAACTGTCCACACCTTTGTAAACAGTCCCTTCATTTGACTCTCCTTAACCACTCCTGTGCAGTGGCCATCTGTCTCCTGCTAGGAAACACATTCTTTATTGAAAGATGAAAACACTGAGACCCCAACAAGTGAAGTAGCCTGCCCAGACCCCCACTGCCACTGGGAAACATAAGCCTCTGGAAAACAAACTGGATCTCCTTAGTGTTCCTATACCCACCTGCTGCTCAGTCACAAGATGGACACTTTCTACAACCTCTACTTGTCATCTCTTCATATTTCAAATTTAAATATCTTATTGAGTGGTTATCGAGGCAATCCAAAACACAGAGAAATGCTCTTTTCACTGGAGTAAATTGAAGCCAGGAAAATAGAATTTTAAAATTTTGCTTGCATGGAAATAGAGCCTGAGAAACTACTACAAAAGCTAAACACAAAAGGATGTGAAAGAGATGAAATTTTCACTGTGCACTAAATTCTGATCTTAAAGATAAGCAATGACATAAATCTCCCCAGTATAAGGACTGAGGCATAGGAGAAGATAATCAGTTGGGAAAAGACTTGAAGTCCAAAAGAAATATGAACAGTTTGCCGAAAGGTGAGGCACTGTGAGTCCATAGATGCCTGTAGGAATGAAGGGCAGGAGTGAGTAGGTGAGATATCAAACAGGAAGTTCAACCATTGCAAATTGTGTTTAAATTATGTTTTATATGGCAGGGAGTCACTGCACCTTTAAGCAGGGGCTGCTGCCTGGAGCCTGGCATGTTAGGAGTCTCAGCTTGTTTGAGACACTAAATTTTCTCAAACTGACCTGTGTCAAAATGTTCTACAAAGGTGAATTTTGTTTAATGACCATGGTTTTAAACAAATGCACATCCACATATTTACTACATTAGCTTTGTTCTTAATTACATCTTTGAATTTCCCACAGCTGTTGTTTGATCACTTGCTGTCACAAAAGTTTCCCTATGGGTATTCCTTTTTTTTAATGAGGACTTTAAAATCATCCTTCTCACAGGATTAACAGAAGTATTAATATTTAGTGAAGACTTCGTCTGTTGAAGTATTTGCCTGTTTCACTTCATCAGTTATCACTCAGACCTTACAGAAACCTCACAACACCAACTTCATGGCCATCACCTTGCCCTGTGCTGTCCTATCCAGCCCCTGGCTCCAGCAAGCAGAACCTCCCTGGGGCTCTATCTCCATGCATGTGGAGATGTGCAAAATATTGCTCAAAGAAATCACTGTTTTTGTCTCTCAGCATGAAGAGCTACTCTATCCAGTGCAACCACCTTCCTTGACTGCTGAGCCTCCAATCAATCAACACATATTATTGGGTTCCTATTAAATGCTCAGCAAGGCCCTGTCTGGCCTCTGTACACAGGAGCCTTTCTAGGTATGGCACGAGAAGTTGGAGCAGAGACCTTGAACCAGTTCTCAAGGACAGGAGGAGTTTATATGGCTGAAGGAGAAGAGCAAGGGCACTTCGGCACAAAGAAATAAAAGCTTAAAAGCAAGTAAGGAGATAATGAGAAGGTACTGGGACAGGTTAGAGAAATCAGGAAAAATAAAATTAGTAAAAACATTTAAATCCTCTAAATTTTCAAATGATAAAGCTTTATAACTAAAAGAGTCTACTTTTAAAATCTCATGTAAGATTTGTTCAAAATTAGTAAATTATCAACCCAAACACATGTAAAAGTCAAGTGTCTTTCCTAGTAATCAAAGAGATTGTTCAATTTTAAATATTACTTAGTATTAATCTAGTTTGATCATCTTAGGGGCTACATGCATTTAGATTATTGTCTTGACATTTGGGTAGAAATTTTTTCAAATGAAAAATAGAAATTAAGAACAGGAATTACTACATTGCCGAAATTTATCACTTGGAAATGTACATATAGGCTCAATCCCCAAACACTGGTAATCTCCTGTATTTTCAGCACTTTGATGTCAGGTAACGGACTGTTAAATAATGTGCTCATCTGTCAATACGTCAACCACTGAGAGTATTCATTTCCATCATTAACACACATTGAGCGTGTCCAAGCACGCCTGGATGCAGGATCAAATTAAGTCCCATCTCTCTGTTCTTTTGCCATTGCATTCTGCAAAATGGGACAATGACTGACTACATGTACTTTCAGTGCTTTTGAAACTGCACATCTGCCTCCAAAACTTCTAACTCCATGTTTTACTTATTTTTGAAATTGTTCTTATTTTTTACTCCTGTCTTCAGTCCATCGGGTCATCTCCTGTTGAAAAGTACTTGCCCTTAAGGGACTGGGAAAAGCCAAACCACCCAGAGATAGGGGGCAAAGCTTAAGTGTGGAATGGCGAGCTCTCAAGTGGGAAAGAAGGGTTTTAGAGGGAAGAGGCAAAGCTTGCAGCTGGGTGCAGAAGACAGACTGAGTTCTTCTTAGTTTGCTCCTGTCTTTCTCAGTTTTATAATACATAACAACTTGCTAAGTTTATCTGTGCAACAGTCCTGTATTATTTAAAAACAATCTCTTCAGTTAAACCTATTTCATTTGGCTTTGCTTTTAAATGTTTTTGTCTTACTGGAAATGTTGTCTTTGTTGGATGGGAAATTTGGGGTATTTGGATAAAAAGTTCTAGAGAAATGGATTAGCTGGTCCTGTTGGTTTGATTTTTCCCTTTTTCTTTTTGTTGGGATATGTTCACAATACATAATAGCTATGTCCATATTGGAGAATTGACACATACATGTGTAAAACATATTGATCACTTTTGATTCCTTTATCACCCTCACAATGATTTTTCTTAAAGTTCCTCTTGAGATCAAACTTTAGACAAGGAGATTATCCCTGGAAATAACTGTGTATATCAAGCCGTCTCAATCTTTGTGGATACTCTGACCTCTTGACAATCCTCCCTTTCTACATAAAATGTTTTACTGCACGTATTTATTTCCAACTACCAATACACACACACAAAACTTGCTTTTGAAACTTGCTGAGAATATTTGGCCCCACTCTTGAAATTATGAAAATCATCCTGGAATAGAGATGACCACTGGTCCACTAAGTCCTTAATATCATCATTCTGGTCCAAGATGTTGATTCCCCTTAAAGGTAAACTTTTAACAATGATTATGCAACTCTGTGGGGCAGAGCTTGACTAGGAGCCAGCTTGTTTGTGAGATTTAGCAACATTTCTTTGCCCCTCATCCAGAGTTCCATTTATTTCAGAACCCAGTGGCAGAGCTCAGGGTTCAGCATAGAATACGTGCAATTATAGGATCTGAATGAATACTTTATCTTTATGGCTGGTTCCATTTACCACCAGATGGCTGTATTGTATCACCAGGAAACGCACATGTGCATAAAATTGGTAGTGTCTTAAACTAAAGGGGAAATAAAGTAACAGTTAGACCTTTAATATATGTAGAAACACTGTTTATTCTTTATGGAGCTAATCAGAAGCAGCTGAGACAGCAGGAATGTCTTGAGAAAACAAGACACACCCAGGGGAAGATATAGGAAGGTCATAATGCTGGCATGTATGAGGGATTCCTTTTTAATTTTTATATTAGTCTGTAATTCTTAATTGTCCCATTAGCCAAAGATTAGGAAGTGATCAAGTCTCAGAGGACTCTATAACTATTCCTACACCAATTTTGTAGCTCAGAAAAGGTAAGTTTAGAAGAATTTTGAGAGGCGAGGTCTATACATCTGCTGATTTGAATCATATTAGCCATGTTCTGGAGAAGAATGATCTGATTCCAAAACCTGTGGTGTCTTTGCATTAATAACACTTGAGGTACAAAAGTGAAATCAGAGGAAGCAAAAGCTTCTCTAAGTTCAAATGACTCCCTTCCTCCTGATAGGCAAATGTTCAGCACTAGACTTTTAGGTGACATCTCCCATTAGTTATATGACACTTTGAGCCTAACCTCTTGAGGTAAGAGTAAAGGCTACAGATTAACCAAATTCCAAACAAATTAGACACCAGTCCTTTTAGTCTCACTTTCTAAAGCTATTAATTGTCTTACTTTTTACTCTTCTTTTAAACTCTAATTATTAAATTGTAAAATTATTGTTTTTATAAAATTTTGCTGTTTTATTACTGCGTTGAGAAGTACTGTGTGAGTTTATTTAGCCTATCCTTAGTTCATAAAATAGTTTGAGATGTGCCTGGAAATGATCACTGTCAAAAAGTAATGCTTGATTGTTGTTTTAAAGAGAAAGTCCTTGGACACTGAATGAATGTCATTTGCTTTGACCCAACTCAAATTTGTGAACATTTGCCTGAAGGAAGTAGAAGAAAAGGCTAAAGCTCTGTCTAAACAGGCAGTACCTGTCATGGGAACTGGAAATGTATGGGCTTCATTGTGCAGTGCAGCAAGTGCAAGTCTAGTGCATGCTTTAACCTCTATCCAATTGGCCCACACATGCACGTGGACATGCATATGAGCATATACACAGCTTTTCATTCAGTACTTACTCCAATCCGTGTGGAAATTTTCAGCCTTTGAAACTTTTTACATTTATATTTTATTTGATTTTCATTCCGCACAAACATGAGGTGGGCAAACCCTCCTTAAGCATGTGGTTTTCTTAAGTAAGGCGTATTTGCATTATAAACAGATAAGCCCAAAGGTTAAAAAAAAAAAAAATCCTATAGGAACCACACAGGATGATTTTCTTGAATGATTTGAGGAAAGTTTACTTGGAAGAGAGTGTTTCAAATATTGACTTCCCTCTTGGTTTTTAGAAACTCACAGAAGCAAAGTGGGATATACAAGGAGCTGGCCTGAGCCAACAGCCTAGACACTACAGGCCTGTGTTATTTGTGTATAGCAGGTCTCTGGTTTCAGATGCATTGGCTGAGGGTATCAGAAAAGCTCAAAGAGGGGATCGATTGTTTCCCAATTTACTTTGCAAATAATGTAGTACAATATTTGCTAATATTGACCTTTCCCCTGACAGAAGATGTTAGCCCCAGAGAACAAAAATTCCTAGCGCTGTGTCCCCGCTTTGACAAAGAACCATCAATGCTTCCTTGTAGTGACAGTCAGTGGAGGAAAAGAATAGAAGAGACCCTGGAATGTTAGAAATATTTGTTAAATTTTTACAGATTGGTACATTTGGATATGAATATATTTTAGAAACATTTGAAAAACAATTTTACAAGGTTTTAAAAAATAATAATATATTGTCTTTTTACAATAAAATCTCACAATGTCAGCTTTATGAAACGTTTTACAGAAACTCCTATAAGAGGAAGTGGAACTTATGAGAAAAAGAAGTATATATAGTTAACATGCTATTTAGTGAGGCAAATAAATGGCATCTTTTTTTTTTTGAACTAACAGAAAGCAAGTTTGAGCCCAGCAATTTAGTGGGATTCCACCTAATAATAAATAAATAAATAACAACAACAACAAAAACAAAAAACAGAGCTGGGGCTGTAGCTCAGTGTGAAGAGCCTGACTTTGCGATATTTGCTGACTGTGACTGAAGCAAGGTGTCACAAGGGGACTCCTGTCAGTTAATGAAAATGTGTTGCACTTTTGGGAAAGTCTTTATCTCAGATGCATGCGATGGCCCTCGCTTTCCAACTGCTTTTTTTTTTCTCCAAAATAAACCTCAATCTGTGGCAAAGTTATGAATTACAAAGCAAATAATATAAAGTAACATTTCAAAGCCAAAAAAAGAAAAACTAACAGTTTCAGAGCCTCGGAAGGATTTTTGAATGATTTCAGAAGCCAAGGAAGGGTTTTTGAATGAAGAAGAAATCCCTGCCTAAAATGCCTGTTTATTTTATAATTGAATGACTTTTTTTTGGTACCAGGGATCGAACTCTGGACCTTGCACTTGCGAGACAGGTGGCAGAACTATTGAGCTAAATTCCCGGCCCTTGAATGACTTTTTTATGATTTTTCATTTCAGTATGATTTAATTCACTCATAAAAGTATTCTTTCCTTTTTTATAAATGTTTTATCCAATTCAAATAGTTCCTAACATTTTAGATTCTTAAGTGGATGAGCCCTTTACAATACCAAACAATCAGATATATTTATTTTTTCAGTGTTTAGCAGATTAAATATATAAAAATGGAAATGGGATATTACTCAACTTTTTAGCTCTTGGCATAAGTAAAATGCAGGTGAGGTATTTTGGGAATAAAGACATATAAGCCAGGGCTTCTCTACCCAAGCAGCTCACAGACAGAATCACTGAGGAGTTGAGGGTGAAAGGAATGTTTTGATGGCCCCAAAAGGAACTGAACGATAGCAGTAAGTTGCAGAGTCTGTTTGTGTTGATGTCTGAAGAATAGTTCTTGAAGTTGGCAGATTTGCATAACTTGATGAATTTAACTGGAAGTTGGCAATGGTTTAAGGAAAAGGAGGGTATGGTGTGTAAAAACACATTACAAGCATTTCCAATATTACATTTTTAATTAAGTTGGGCATTTTATTAGATTTAGCTGTCTCCATTGCTACTGTTGAAACAGGTCAAATACAATATTTTCAAAGGATTTAATCCTAAGATTTTTCCTTTCTCAATATTTTAGTCTAGTTTCATCTTTGAAAAGATAAAAAGGGTAATAGCCCCATTTGCCCTCCTTTTAAAAATTTAAATTGATTGATGTTTTTTTAAGTGGGGGAAGAGAACTATAGGGAATAGGGGAGCAACTAATCTTTCTTAAGAATGTTCTAGAGAATATTTCAGAATAAGACATCTTTCTCAAACAAACATTTGTCCACTGGGTGCCACTGTCTTCCTTACCAGCCATGCAATGAGCACTTGCAGAAGGCAAGGTCTTTATTATTCAAAACAAAAGATTACTGTGTGTGTGTGTGTGTGTGCGCGTGCGTGCGCGTGTGTGTTTGAAGAAATAGTTTTGCCTGTGATACATGTTAAGGTTCTTCTTCTGAATGTCAATAATTTAGGCCTTATTAAAAGGATATTGGGATTGTAGTTGACTTTCACAGGTAACACAGATTATGTATGTTAGCCATGCAGATGAGCACTGGCCAGATGTAAGGGCTAAAATGTGGTAGAAGATCAGAAGAAATGACAAGGACAAAAGTTTGTGCTAGAGCAAAAGGGTAAATTTCATCGTGGGCTGAATCGTTACCTCCTGGCTTTGCTTCTTAAGGAAGAATGTTAACTCAGAATAAGTTAACTCAGAATGAGAACTCAGAGTTAACTCGGAATGAGAAGTATGGATGTCAGGAATTGTCGTATACACTAGGCATCTTTTGGTCCTGGGCCTCAGTTTCCCTAAACTTGATGATTCTATGGTCCCCTCCAACATGCCTCTTGGCTCACTATAAGAAAGAAAAACAAAAATAAAAATAATAAAGAAATAAGGAGCTTGTGGCCATTTCTACTGCAGTCACACAGTAAACAGAATATTATTTGGGCTTCACTCTAATTAACAATTATGCTTTCTTTGTAGTCATACCACCGTTGTGAAAATAAAAGAAATTTAAGACTAGGATAACTTTCAATTAAGATTCGTAATCTAGGTAGTCAAAGGCTTGAGAAGAAACTGCTACAATTCAGCTGGTTAGAGTGAGAAAGGATCATTAGAGTCCCACTTTTATCCCATATTATACTGATAACCCCAACATCTCCAATTCTTTCATAAGAAAATACTTGATTATATTTCCTGTAGGTTCAGAGAAGTAGGAAGAAAGCTAAATGCCCGAAATTTGGGTAGCAGGTAAAGAAAAAGAAGGTGGAATAAGAAAGACAATAAAGGTGTTAGGAATGGGAAAGGAAAAATTATGAGAAAAGAAAAAAACAGAAACAAAGTCTGTAAGTAGAGAAGGGTGGAGGGGTGAAGGGTGCACAGGTAATGGGGAAAAGATGTATGTACAGGTACAAACACCCAGTGATAAATGTAAACATATTGTATACCTAAAATGTACCAAGAAAAGAATTTAAGGAAAAAAAAAAAGAAAAAAAGAATGTAAGAGGAAAAAGAAAAGTAAGTTTTTAGAGACACCCATAAAAAGCAGTTTTGGCACACATGCTGGCTTCTGTCACCTGTACACACAGGAGGATGAAGAAAAGTGACTGGAGGGCTGCTGTTTAGGACTATACAAGAGCAAATTGACCCTGCAACTATTGTGTTGAGACAAATGCTAAGAAAATACCACAGTGAAGCATGAACCAGACATGCCCCCAGACAGAGCTCATGAAGCAACACTCCTGTTGGTAACAATGCTGACCCAGGGTCTCTCAGATTCATTACAGGCTTCTGGTTCCCAGCTCCAGTCATTAGACCGGGAAGCTCAAGCTTTATTTCTACTCTGCTATGCTGGCTTTTTGACCTTGGGCCATTTACCTCATCTCCCCAGCCACAGATATCTTATCTAGAAGGAGATAAACATACTAGTTTCATAGGGCCACTGAGAAGATTGTGAAGAGATAGCTATCTGCCTCTTAGGACTGCTATAGCCTGAATGAATGTGTGCACCTTAAATCCATATGAACCCTCAAAATGATGGTATTTTGAGGTGGGGTATTTGGAAAGTGACTAGATCATGAGAATGGAGCCTTTGTAAATAGGGTTAGTATCTTTACAAAGGAGGCCCAAAAGAGCTCCCTTGACCCTTCCATAATTTGAGGAAACAGCAAGCAGGTGCCATCCAGGAACCTGGAAGTGGGTCTTCCAGACAGTGAACCTGTTGGCATCTTAATCTTAGAACTTCCTAGCCACTGGTGCCATAAGACATAAATTTCAATTCATTACATCCAGTGTACGGCATGTGGTTATATCATCCCAAATGCACTAAGATAGTACTGTAGTTCTCCATAAATATCAGTGTATCTTGACTCTTACCAGTAGTTGTAACAGAATTCTACAATTCTCTTCATGCCTTGAGACATATAAATTAATCACTCATAGTCCCAACCCACCACAAAAGTCTCTCTCACCAAATATGCTTTATTTACATTTGTGTTTATATGTGTGTATATATACATAGCTTTCTTTACTGGTGTCACTCAAAATGTTTGCAAGATGACACAAATCATACCACAGCCATTCTTTTTGGCTCTCCCAATCCTAGCCTCTACCACCCTCCTGCCTGCTCCCTTACTGGAGCTCCTTCCTCTCAACTTGGCTCTTTCTCACTTATGCAGCTTTCTGTCGTGCACTTTCTCAACTCTTCACTTGGTAAAAGGCCTGCAGTTCTTTCTCCTTGTTTTTCCTATCTGTTTCATCTGCTAGGGCTTCTGTCTATTCCTGCTTATGTCAGATTTTGCTCACACTATGAGCTGAATGACCAGGACGGGTGTCTGGTCCTTTCATGACTTTCTTTGGAGGAGT